AGGAGATAAAGTTGGGAAGGGAAATAGAGGTAAAATGTTATCAACAGCCTGGTAGGCCATTGAACCAAGGCTGGATTTTATTCTAGGCTAGGAAAGATTTACTGAGAAGGACTGAGTTCATCTTGGGTAATAATAATGAAATCAAGCTTCCCCTATTCTGTTTTTATAACAAACTTACAGGCAATGACTTCTGACGTCAGCATCATGTCTTCCCCTGAGTGCCTCAAAGAGCATATCCTGGGCAGTTCAGTCTGCATTCCCCCATCATGTTACCCTTTCTTGTTAACCCATTCAGACTTGAACTGTGATGTCTCATGTTTGCTTTCAGGCCTTCATTATGACTTTTAGTATTACTTTCAGCGGCAGCAACCTCCACTACTTTTGCACCAACTGAATATTTGATTTTGTACTTGCCCAAAATATAATATTTAAACATTGAGCATCAGTTGATTTCACCAAAGGTTTATTTGGCTCCAAGATGCTTTGAAAAATGCTGCCCGTGGCTGAGCAGTGCTGCGGTGCTCTGTCTTTCTGGACTGAGCACCGCGTGGATGTGTATTTTCTTTGATGCCTGCCTTCTGTTTGCATGGTCAGTGGTGTTGGTTTGCAGTTCTCTTTGATGGCCAGCTTCTCTTTGCACGATCAGTGGTGTTGTTTTGCCCTGATGGAATCTGCCTTCTTGGAACCTAGCTGAACCAAATGGGGCACTTCCTGTGAGATGCCTTTAAATAGCTCAGGACTTCCCTGTGAAATTACTTCATTCTCGAGTCCGTGTTATTAAGGCTAATAATTGGAGCTTTGCGGTTTCTGAATCCTAGCCCCTACCTTGTTTCCCAATTCCAGTACTTACTCTCCTGCACCTGTAGTCTCTTAGATCCCGAGCAGACCAGTGTTCCATTCTTGCATCAGTAGAAGCATGTGTTCCACCCTCGCTAGACCCTCCCAAGGACTGAAATCCATTTCCCTTCCTCTCACTGCTACCACCATAATATGAGTGTCCAAATCTCAGTTGGCTTATTGAATTAGCGTCCTAATTTCTCTCTCTGTATATATGTTGGCCCCCAGAAATCCATTCTCCATATTTTGTCACTTCCTTGCTTGATTTCTTTCAATGGTTTTGAATTTAGCATAAAATCCAAATTTCTTGTTGAGATCTAGATCTCTGAGGCCCTCCATGGACTGGTCTGTGCCAGCCTTCCCAGCTTCATCACTCATGCGTCAGCCACACTGGCCTCATACTGTTTTCCCCACACTCCCAGTTCTTTCTCTCCTCGGGGCCTCTGCTATTCTTCTGCACCTCTTCCGTCTTTTTGCGGCGGTCTCAGTCCCATCAACTGTCCTTATCCAATCTCAGACCTGTATCTGCAGAACCCATGTGGGTGTTAAAACCAGACATTGAGGGGATAGATTTCTCAATAAACTTATGAGATATTACTCTATGATTACACATGAGGAAAACTGAAGGCACAAAGAGCTTAGATAACATGTTCAAGATTATAAAAGGAGGAAGCAGCATATCTGGGATTGGAACTCAGGCAACATGTCTCACAGTGCACAAAATGGCTATACTGTCCTTTCTGCCTCGAATTTTTTCTTTTCTTTTCTTTTTTTTTTAATAAATTAATTAATTTATTTATTTAAAGACGGGGTTTCACCATGTTGGTCAGTCTGGTCTTGTACTCCCGACCTCAGGTGATCCGCCCACCTTGGCCTCTAAAGTGCTTGGATTACAGGCGTGAGCCACCGCGCCCGGCCTCTGCCTTGTATTTTTAAAATGTAAACAATGTTGTTTCAGGTTTGGCCCTAGGTTAAGTGGGGGGAAGAATAAAGTTATATCAGAATTCAATGCTGGAAATGGACGTTTCAAGTGGAAAGGGATTTAATCATGAGAATTAGGTACATTCATAATATTAATAATTAGGAGAACTAGAGTCAAAGGGTTGTCACTGAGCCACTGATGTCAAGGATGTGCCACAGTAATTGTGGTGCAAGATGAGGAAACTGCTCTGAAGAAAATAGCTGTGTACATTGCTTGCTGTTTCTCTGCATATACTTCAGCCTCACATGGTGGTATCTTGTAGCTAGTGTCATAACTGAGTCATGCATAGGCCTTCCCACTGTTCTGTAAAGTCAGCTACATCTGCGCATGTTCAGTTTTTTATTTTTATTATTTATTTATTTATTTATTTATTTATTTTTTGAGACGGAGTTTCACTCATGTTACCCAGGCTGGAGTGCAATGGCGCGATCTCGGCTCACCGCAACCTCCGCCTCCTGGGTTCAGGCAATTCTCCTGCCTCAGCCTCCTGAGTAGCTGGGATTACAGGCACACGCCACCATGCCCAGCTAATTTTTTGTATTTTTAGTAGAGACGGGGTTTCACCATGTTGACCAGGATGGTCTCGATCTCTTGACCTCGTGATCCACCCGCCTCGGCCTCCCAAAGTGCTGGGATTACAGGCTTGAGCCACCTCGCCCGGCCTTATTATTTATTTTTTAAAGCCAGTCAAATTTAGCAGTGGGGGGATTGTATACCAATTTTAGTGACACTAATGTTAATAAGTTCTGATAACCCACTCCCATTGGATCAGCCGCGTGTTCAGTTTTTAAAAAGTGATCTAAATATACTACTTAAATATCCAAATATGACAAAATATTAAATCTGAGTGATGGATATGTTTGGGGTATTACATAATTTAATTTTTTTAATCAACAAAATCCTTACAGTGGACATTTAGTGAAAGAAACCCTTACGTTTCAGATTTTTGAAAATCATGCAAAAACAACAGCCGCACCTCTGTCAACAGGGCTGAAAGACAAACAACACTGAGAAAAATATTTGCAGCATGTGTAACAGACTGTGATGTATCTTGAGTCTTTCTAAATCAGTAAGAAAACAGTAAACAGACCAAGTTAAAAAGCAATAAAGGCCATGAAGTGGAATTGCACAAAAGAAGAAATGTAGGATCCAATAAGGGTGTGAAAAATAATAATCACTAAAAATCAGTGAAATACAAATAAAAACCACAATGAGACACATTTTTATTTTAACCACAGATTGGCAAACATAACATTGGCAAAACCAAATGTTGGCAAGACAATGAGGAGACAGGGACTTTCATGCACAGATGTTTGGTGGGAGTGAAAATGGGTATAACCTTCCTCAGAAAGGGTAGTTTGGCAGTATGTAAATGTGAAGGCATCATCATGGGACAGTGATGTGAGCGATGGAAAGCTACCAACAGAAAAGTTACAGAGAATGTAATTGCTATAATTTTTAGAGATGGTTATGTAAAGTAGAATACTCCCAGACAGAATAAGTTGCCCTGAGTCCCAATCCCCAGTGGAAAATACACCTACCCATGATACTTCTCAATATTTTCTACACAGAGGGATGAGTCTGCCAGGAACAAGAAGCTCACACCCTCTCATTCTTATGGGATCTTTATTCTCCCTGGCCTCCTTTTGGGCTATAAACCTACCTGCTTACCAGGGACAAGTAACTATTACAAAATAACTTTTGAGTGTCTACCGCCAACATGAGTTGGATGAATTGAAGAGCTGTCTTCCAAGTATACTTTTTTCCCTGCAAAACCAAGCCTCAGGTCTACCTGAATTTTATCCTTGCAGGATCAAAATGTAATGCATGCCTACCATTGGTCTCAGATATCCCACTTCTAGAGCTTATCTTAAGAAGATAATTGCAAAATATCATAAGATGGATGATTACAGACATTCAATGAAGAATTTCTAGAAATAAAAATTGGCTGAACTTAACTGCTCATCAATGGAGACTAAGTAAATTTTTTTTCTTTTTTTTGAGATGGAGTTTCGCTCTTGTTACCCAGGCTGGAGTGCAATGGCGCAATCTCGGCTCACCGCAACCTCCGCCTCCTGGGTTCAGGCAATTCTCCTGCCTCAGCCTCCTGAGTAGCTGGGACTACAGGCACGCGCCACCATGCCCAGCTAATTTTTTGTAGTTTTAGTAGAGACAGGGTTTCACTATGTTGACCAGGATGGTCTCAATCTCTTGACCTCATGATCCACCCGCCTCGGCCTCCCAAAGTGCTGGGATTACAGGCGTGAGCCACCGCACCCGGCCGACTTAGTAAATTTTTATACATCCATATGATGATCTCCTCTGGAGCCACTAAAATATATGTGTACATGTTGGTATTTGTACCTTTATGCATAAAATGTTTCTCAAAGTGGTCAGGGGTGAAATTAAAGAAAATAAATGGGTGGCTAGGTAGATGGCAGAGAGACTTCATATATATACGTTTATATGTTTAAAGTTTGACCATATGAATGTATTTATTTTTAACTTAAAGTTAAAAAGGAGACACTGGCCGAGAGTAGTGGCTCACACCTGTTATCCCAGCACTTTGGGAGGCCGAGGCAGGCAGATCATCTGAGGTCGGGAATTCAAGACCAGCCTGGCCAACATGGGGAAACCCTGGCTCTACCAAAAATACAAAAATTAGCCAGATATGGTGGCACACGCTTGTAATCCCAGCTACTCGGGAAGCTGAGGCAGGAGAATCGAATCACTTGAACCTGGAAGGAGGAAGTTGCAGTGAGCTGAGATTGTGCCACTGCACTCCAGCCAGGATGACAGAGCCAGACCCTGTCTCAAAAAAAAGAGAGAGAGAGAGACAGGGAGAGAGAGGAACAGAGATGCCTGAAGAGACAGCCACCAGAAGTTATAGAAGTTATTTTGGGGTAGGAAGATTTGACCCAACATGTTTTACTCCTTTAGTTTTCTATATTTTTTAATCTTCATAAGCATGTATCATTTTACACATATAAAAAATTAAAATTACAAAAGGAAATTATGTAACTATAATAAATGATAGTAAAGCCCAATTTTCATTAAAATCTTTCATTAGGGCCCCTCTGCACGGTGTTCCATCCCTCACCACGCCACTTCTCTTCCCAGCCCTTGCTTCTGGAACTCTATCCTAGGAGTTTTCATTTCCTTTTTTATTTTTTTCCCTCAGAGTTGCTGATGGAGTGATCAAAAGTGTATTATGGCAAACACTTCAAGCTCTTAATTTCTGTCATAAACATAATGTAAGTAACGTTTTCTAATGTATTTGTTAATTTCTTCCTGATGACTTTTTTCTTCTAAATAGCTTAGGGTTTTGTTCAGAGAGTTGAAGACAAAGAGAAAGTAAGAGCCAAAGAAGTGAAACAAAAGGAAATTGAGCCTGTGATCCCAGCACTTTGGGAGACTGAGGTGGGAGGATCACGTGAGCCCCAGAGTTTGAGACCAGCCTGGACAATGTAGCAAGACCCTATCTCTGCAAAAAAGAAAAGGAAATAACAAAAGAAAGTCAAAATATGATTTTTTTAAAAAGTGATGCATTATTCATGGCCCTTTTCCAATTTCTGTAAGAATCAAATTGCTCATTCCTTATGAATTAAAAATTTGAATAGATGTAGTGATTCCTTTTGCCATAGTGCTAGTGACTCCTGTGAATATTTTTAAATTGAGCTAGCATAATTTCTCAGGGCCAGTGTGGGGGCTCACACCTGTAATCCCAGCACTTTGGGAGGCCAATGTGGGGAGATGGCTTTTAGCTCAGGAGTTCAAGACCACTCTGGCCAAGATGGTGAAACCCCATCTCAACTAAAAATATAAAAAAATTAGTTGGCCATGGTGGGTGGGCACCTGTAATCCCAGCTACTCAGGAGGCTGATGCAGAGGATTGCTTGAACCCGGGATATGGCAGTTGCAGTGAGCCAAGATTGCACCTCTGCACTCCAGCGTGGGCAACAGAGCAAGACTCCATCCCGGAAAAAAAAAAAAAAAAAAAATTAGCCAGCCATGGTGGCACATACCCATAATCCTACCTACTTGGGAGGCTGGAGCTGGAGAATCATTTGAACCCAGGAGGCAGAGATTGCAGTGAGCCAAGATCACAACACTGCTCTCCAGCCTGGGCAACAGAGTGAGAACCTGTCTCCAAAAATAATAACAATAATTTTTCAGGATACTGGTGGTGTAATCCCCCATGATACTTGTTTTTTTATTTTTTACATCTCTTAAGTCCTTTACTTTATAGCAATCTAAGTCCCCCTTCCCTTTCCTTTTTAAAAATTATTTCCATTAATTTTATATAGCCATAGTTATCAAGCTTGAGCATGTATCAAAATTGCAAGGAAGGCTTGTTAAAACACAGCTTCCTGGGCCCCGCCCCCAGAGTTTCTCAATCAGTAGGTCTGCAGTAGGACCCCAAGAATGTGCATTTCTCATATTTTCCCACATGCTACTGAAGCTGCTGGTTCAAGAACCACACTTTGAATACAACTATGTTCGAGAAGTAATTCTGGCCAACTGTTTTCTTTATGTAACTTAACTTGTTCTTTCACTTGTAGTTCCTGTAAATTGGAGTTTACATCTAGAGGCTTGGTCATATTCAGCTTCAGCCTTTTTTTAGATGAGAATACCTCCTGTGTGGTGCTGTATACCTCCTATTGCCTCCGCATTGTGAGGCGTTTGGCACCTGCTTGTCCCACTTTCACAAAAGTTGAAATTGATTACTGCGCTCAGGAAGTATGCGTTTGGTCCCTTCCGTTATCATTTTCCCTGTCAACCTTGTTTCGGTGATGGTTTTAGCATCCAGTGTTGATTATTGCTGGATTCTAGAATTTCATGACAGCAATTTTCTAATTCTACTATTCCTTATGCATTTATTAATTGGAATTGTATGGAAAAGAACTCACCCTCATGGACTCTGGCTACTTTTATTTATCAGCACTCAGAGTGATGAGTTGGTATCTTAGCAACAATGACAAGTTTTGGGGAGAGGTGGCTGGAGCACCACTATAAACACGAGTTTTATGTTGTGTTTTCAATCCTTTGCTGTTATTGGTCTCTCTGATGCTCAGATTTTCCCATCTTAGGCCAATGAGAGCTTCTTTTAAGTTGGCTGCTGGTACCTTTGCTATATATCATTATATTTTTGAGGCAGTCTTGCTCCGTTGCCCAGGCTGGAGTGCAGTGGCGTGATCATAGCACACTTCAGCCTCAAATTCCTGGGCTCAAGTGATTCTCCCACTTCAGCCTCCCTCAGCAGCTGGGACTACAGGCACATGCCAATTTTTTTTTTTTGTAGAGATGGGGGTCTCACTATCTTACCCAGGCTGGCCTCAAACTCCTGCGTTGGCTGCCCAAAATGCCAGGATTGCAGGTGTGAACCACTGCACTCAGCCAATGATAGCTTTTAAAAAATATCTCTAGACCTTTTGAGTTGGTGCCTAGACAGAGACAGTGCTGAGGCAATGATGTAGAGCACCATATGGTCAGTTTTGTTGCCAGCAGAATGTCTATCATAGCAGTCTAGGATTGCTGAAAAAGAAAGTATAAGATCATGGAAATACATTTCAATACGGAGGGGAAGCTTACTTTAGTTTTAGGAAAGTCAGTGAAGTTTTTTTTAGGTTAAATCAAAAGCTTTTCTTTTCTTT